TCCGATCACAGCTCCAAGGCAATCCCCCTACAGCCTACAGTGAGACTAATTTACTAATCCCTTCCACTCGTCTCTTCAAACAAAGTGAAAGGTACTTCAACAGCAACTTCTGAATATGTTGAGCGGCAGGAACTCTTTTCACCATGGCCCCACCTAGCAAAACCTTAAGCTTTTTAAATCTGAATCAAATTTTGCTGGTGTTATCATATTTTTGTAACACTCTGCGAAAGTTATGAAAATTTTCAAACAGTGATTCATTATTTTGCTAATATCTTTTCCTTTTTATATTTGAGTTCTTAGCCTGCGCTTAATAGAAATTTTATATCTATTTAATTTATTGCTGATTTCCCATTAATGGTAGTAGTTTGCCCTAGATAGACTTCGTTTATCGTACCAATAATTCTGTTTATCTTGCCAAAAGTCAATATTACCTATTACTACTGCTAACTATAACAAGCTAGCAATCTACTTGAATGCATCGACGTATCCAGCTTACGAGAAGAGATTGAGATGTAACAGTTTGATCTAATACGGCTTTATCTTAGGCAAAATTTACATCACAAATTTGATTCAGACCTTGCTGAATCTCCATGGTTGCTAACACCAAACAGTGATTATCACTCACATTCTTTAAACAGAAAATTAGCCTATAATATCTGCTTGCATATAGCATATTGCAGAATTTGACATTTATTACAGTCTAATAGGAAAATCTTTGCCAAATACGTTGTACGTGAAATTATATAATCTTAATTAATAAAAATTAATTATTCTTAGATGATATATAGTTATCTTATAATCATTTAGTGTTAATCTCTTATTTGTATATTTTCAATAAACGTATTGCTTTTCTAATTTGAGAATGATTCACTTGTGTTCGATAAACAGCTTTATAATTAATTCAAGTTACAATAATTATTGAAGCGAAGAGTAGCTGCTGGCTTACAAAGGCTTAGCATAAATAAGGATAAAAAATTGAAAAATATAGCTATACCACGATTTAGAGCACAACAATAGCTATCAATTGACAGAAACCACAAATATAAAATCGCTGAGGCTTATGCCTTTGAATCCACTGGGATGAAAAATGTGGCATAAACACTATGATGGACCGAAGTGGTTTTATAAGTGCATGATCAAATTAGCTACTAGCCATCAGCTGTTGAGTTCCCTTTCTTTTCAATAAAAAGTATTTGTGATAAAGAAAGTGATGTTCTATTCCGCCTAGAAGTCAACGGTGGATTTACTGTGGTCATTTGACATTTGGCTTTACTGGACAGTTCGTGCTGATTCTGTTCTCGAGTTAATCTCATTCTATTTTGGTGAAAATATGCTCTGCTTTCTAGAAAGGGTCTGACCTTGTTTTTTCAACTTGGTCATGTTGTCAAGGCGGCCTAGTTGGGCTCATCTTGTCCAAGGTCTTCTGCCACCGAAGTTCTAATAATTCTCAGCGTTGGACATTGGATTTGGTGAATCACCACACGTTTCGCCGGTGTATTAGTGAGCATCGTCAGGGACTCTTGCCATACCTAACAGCAAGTTCTAACTCGTCAAAAAGACACTTGATTACAGTGAAAGGAAAATGCGACCAAAACACAGGCCAAAAACATTTGGTCCTGCAATCTATGCTTAGCTTTCGTCTATCATATAGCGAGTATAATCATAAGAGGGCTGCATTATTGCAACTAATTCGGAAAATCTCACCGATTAATCAATAAGTATTATGTATATATATATACTGTCTATTTTATGAAGTATAGAGAGATTTGGTTAATTCACATCGTATTCAGTTTAGAAGTATGTGTGTATTTATATTTTATCTTCATATTTGCATCTATCTATACGTCAATTAAGGAAACCAACAGTTATTACTCTAACTAATAATAATAAAATATTACATTTGTTCTAAATTATCAAGATTTAATTATTTGCTCTGATTATTTTTGCAGCGTGGCAAGACACTCGAAGGCTAGGCATGCTTTTACCGAAATCGGAGGAGAGGCCATATGGTCAACGTAAAGCGGAACGTTCTAGCAAAACAAAAATACAGATGGAGAAAAGCAATCCTCCTTCATCTTCTTGTGAAATTGACCTACACATCTCTGCACCATACACTTTTGGTGAATTAAAATGACTTACGCATTTTTTAATCATTTGATCTCTATTAAAGATAACTTTTCATTGCAGTAGCAGCTCATTTTCGTTGCATATACATATTAGAATGGTTTTTAATTTTTGATGAAGGATTTAAATTTGAATTGCATGAATTCAAGTTCTGGGCTAAATAAGAATTGTAAACATAAGATGCTTTTTCAGAATTTTGATGCCGTGATTCGGAATGAAATTAACTAATTAACCATAGAAAAATAATCACTGAACTATTTACTTGCCTATGAGACTGCACAATCTAGGAGGTAAGGAGCTTACCATTTTTAAAGACCCAGCCTTAAAAATGTATAAAAAACCAAACCGTAGGACAGGATTGTATAAAATAAACCCTACCATTCCTACCTATAATCGAGATAGACCGTTTTTATTTATTTAATGTAGTAAATACGAGTAATAATGAGCCAAATTCAGGCCAAATAAATTACTTGTATCAAAATTTCCCATCATGTTTTTTTGTTTACCATAGTCTTCTAGCTTCTGTTGAAGTCTAATGGGCTAGTATTTGCAACAAAGTCACTAGTTTGGTGATGCTTTCGCAGGCCATCAAGAGACATCTCTATTTGCCCCAGATTATCGACTTGGTTCATATGCATTTTGTCATATTGACTCACTCGGAGGTCGAAATCTTGGTTTATGAGGTAGCTATAATAGATGGCTTGAAGCGGAATCATATTTAATATGCTTCTTACGGCTAGGATAAATATGTTATACAAGTTAACTTTCATGACGCTCGACGCAGCTCTTGTCTCTCAGAGTTCACTTCTACTGTTTAAACCAGTTTTCTTCCACTTAAATCTGATAACCAAACCATTATCTAATTTTCCATCATTGTTTTACTAATCTGATCAACATATAATTCATACTGGTATTATTACTTTTATAAATGGAGAATTTCTATACCGATAGCCATGACGAATTCAGTTTAGAATAGGTGCTTTGGCACTAGATTACATGCAGCTTTTAATTAAGTTAACTTCGTAGGAGCCCTTTCTTATATTTTCTGATGGCATATTCAAGAGACTAACCTGGTATCGGACCTTTATAGGTGTTTCTAAAGAGAAAATGATTGGCCCAACGGTAATGTTTTACCATTTAAGGTTTCCGGACGGATTTCGAATCCTGTTGGGCTGCTGAATCTGCTGTGATCAAAAGAGCAAGGCCGAATTCACTTCCCCTGTTTTAATCGCATTAGTATAAAAATAAACTAGCTGGCTTGCGCACGCATAACGACCGAGAGTGACTACCTTTCTGGACAAGTAAGGCAGTGGCAACTTATGACTACCTCGGTGTAAAGTTTTTGGCCAATCACAAAATCTGACATCCTTTATAAAAAGATTGTGATTGATGTAAAAAATGCTATGGGTTTTACCTTTGTTAGACTAAAGAACCTTCTTTTATAGCTGTTACAATGTACAATTGCATTGAAAAGGCAATCAAATTCTTTTTATCCTATCCTCACTAATTACCAATTGAATTTTATTTAAATATAATTCTTCTGTTCTGAGGCACGAATAGAATATGTAGTCTGGATAATGAAAAGTTTTCCTTATTCGCATAGAATTATCTGCGCTGAACAGTATGGTGTAAAAAGAAAGGATGAGGCTCTAAAAGTATAAAATCGGAACATTCAAACTAACCCGCAACCACGGAGGAGCTGAGAAGAAAAAATATCAAGCTATCACAGAAGAAGGTTGCTGCGATGCCAACCGAAGCGAGTATGCTGCCAAGCAAGGCGACTTCTCGGTAGCCCCATTTTTCAGAAAGTGAGCTTGCCAGGGGACCTGAACCAAATCCATGTTAAAGAAGGCAGATTACTAGTCTAAATCTGAGTATTTCTATTGTGCGAAAAAATAATAAGTCTTATTTCTCTTCGAAGATATGAAGACCAAGATGGTGTGGCCTTTTGTGTGGTCGCAGTCTCCTTTCGTTGCATAAAGGCTGTTTGACCTTGTTTTCGCAAAATAATCATATTGGTAGTAAGACTTCGAGGAACGCACCTAGTCCAGAGTCCATTGTCTGCATTATCATTTACAAAGTTGAATCGTGGACATGGTACGTTCCCAAACGTTTCTCTGACATCGTAGTCGGCATCGTAAGTGAGTATCGCCATTCTTAGCGCCACATAACAC